AATGCTGTGTCAGTCTAGTTTATCTCTATTGTCCTGATCAGTAGGCCACCATGGGCTCCACAGTGTAGAACAATCTACTAAATATAAGCTGATAAATTTTGCCATAATAATTCCTATTAATATGTTATTGCACAATGAGCATAGAATACAGATAACTTTTTCCAACCCAGAAGCTTCTTAAGAGGAAGGATATTCTGTGGTTTTCTTTTCTTTTATCTTTTCTCCTCCCTGTCAACTCTGCAACAAACCTGCATGAAGCCATTTGGCTCGTTTTCGGTTGTCACCAGAATGGGAAGGTGGTCGTGGAATTTTTTGGCTAACTTAAACAATTCTGTCCCTCCTTGCTGGTCACCTCTACAGAGTGACTTTTGACCCTTTTCAGGGGCCCCCAGTGATGCAAAACTGGACATGGGAGATGAAGCTCATCTCCCAGGCATCCATGGCGGCTGTGGTAAACTGGAAGTCTCCAAGAAAAAGATTATTACACTCTTCACACAGTGTAATACCAAGATTTCCTTCCTCTAAAGCAATAGTGTGAGTTGGAGATTCAATTCAAGTTCAAATTACAAATAGAATGAAATGATATGAGTAATTTTCAAGGACTTGTTCTCAGATAAATTAGATTTAAAACTATCCTAGCCAAATAAATAAGATTTTAAATTCCCAAATTCCCAGACTCACTGATGAATGTCTGGAAAATTCAGCCACTAAAATACATTACTTCTGAACATTGCAGATGACAGAGCTAACCTGACAACAGTGTTTCCTCTTTCAGGTTTAGATGACTGTTTCCCATGTCCTGAAGAAAACTACCCTAACAAGGACCAGACTCTGTGCCTTAAGAAACATACAACATTCTTATCTTACAAAGAACCCTTGGGAACCACTTTAAGCAGTATTGCTTTCTTCTTTTCTTTCATCTCAGTTGTGGTCTTGGGGATCTTCATTAAAAACCAGGAAACTCCCATAGTCAAAGCTAACAACAGAAATCTCACCTACATTCTTCTCATTGCCCTCCTGCTCTCTTTCCTTTGCAGTTTGCTCTTCATTGGGCAACCTAACCAAGCAAAATGTCTCATGCGACAAACTGCTTTTGGCATCATCTTCGCTGTAGCCCTTTCTTGCATTTTGGGGAAAACAACCATAGTGGTTCTTGCTTTCATGGCCACCAAGCCAGCTTCCAAAACCAGAAAATGGGTTGGGAAAAGGCTGGCTTATACTATTCTCCTGTCTTGCTCCCTGGTTCAAGTCATAATTTGTAGTGTGTGGCTGGCAACTTCTCCCCCATTCCCAGATTCTGACATCCACTCGATGACTGAAAAAATTGTCCTCGAATGTAATGAAGGTTCAGCCATCATGTTTTATACTGTCCTTGGTTTTCTGGGATTCTTGACTGTTATTAGCTTCATAGTGGCTTTCCTTGCTAGGAAGTTACCTGACAGTTTTAATGAAGCCAAATTTATCACTTTCAGCATGTTGGTCTTTTGTAGTGTCTGGATGTCATTTGTTCCAACCTATTTGAGCACCAAGGGGAAGTACATGGTAGCTGTAGAAATCTTCTCCATTTTGGCTTCTGCAGCAGGATTACTAGGTTGCATCTTTTCCCCCAAATGCTACATTATTGTTCTGAGGCCCGAATTAAACAAAAAGGAACAATTAACCAAGAAACAAAAGTAAATTATTTTTTTCTGAGTTTTATAAAGTGCTGCCTCTTTATAGTGCCTATGAGATTAAAGGTAGGCAGTTCAATCTGTTTTTTACCTTTACCTTTTGAAATTTCTGCTTTTTATTTCTGTTCTGTCCCTCAGGCCAGTCTGAAGAGAGGAAATAAATGCCTCTTCCTTTACTGTTTTCTCAGCTGCTGCCTCCTGTCTAATTTTTTCCTCTCAACAGGGCAGGCTGTCTTAAAAGAGAAGCCACCTTCTGGTTGGTGATTCAATTATAAGGGATGTAAATTTAGGAAAGGACACAGAGGTTTTGAAAGAGGTCAGGTGTCTTCCAGGTGCTACTGCCAGTAGGGTCAAGAAGTGTATTTGTAAAATAATCAAGAATGCCAGCAAGGACTGTGATGTGGAGGCTATTGTACATCTTGGCACTAATGATCTGTCCCGAAAAGATGTACTCTCTGTGCAGAATGATTTCCAGAGCCTGGGGCAGGAACTTAGCAGAATAGGCTGTAGGCTTATTTTTTCAGAGGTTTTACCAGTGTATAAGGAGCAAAATGGAAAAGGCCAGCATATAGCACAATTCAATATGTGGTTAAAGGAGTGGAGTAAGGCTTTGGATATATTAGTCACGATGTTAGCAGCTGGTCCAATGAAAAAATGTACAAAAGAGATGGTTTGCATCCATCAAAGAAAGGGACTGAGTTACTCGGCTATAAATTCACAGATTTTCTGGAGGAATATTTAAACTAAACAGCGGGGACAGTGAGCTAATTGATACAGAACATCCCTGTCCCTGGCAATCTAAACATTATAGGGCTATCAGTGCATGTAACATAGATGTGTGTGTGTGGACAAGAACATCAACCTTCCTGTCAAGCAAAATCAAGCTCTTAATAGCGAGTGCCACACAAAGTGCACTAACCAAATAGGTGGTAAGACAATAGGGGAACTGAGGCACCACACAGGTTATGTAGAAAGTAAACACACGGTCGGTCATAAAGGACTCAAATGTCTATACACCAATGCACAGAATATGAACAGCAAACAGGGTGAACTAGAAATTCAGGTTAATGAGGACAGAAATGATATTGTTGCCATTATGGAAACATGGTGGGATGAAACCCACAAATGGAACACACAGCTAGAGGGATTTAAATTTATTTAAAAGAAACAGACCAAATAAAAAAGGAGGTGGAGTTGCTCTCTATATAAGAAATAACTACATCTCTACAGAAATAGAGCACAACAATGATGAAAACTGTCTTGAATGCATTTGGGTCAATATAAAAGGGGGGGAAATGACATTGCCATAGGTGTATACTATAGGCCACCTAACCAAACAGAGGAAATAGATAAACTAAGGTATGTAGGAAGCAGATCACAATAGTAATGTGGGACTTTAACTACCCTGATATCAACTGGGAGACAAACTCTGCACCAAGTGGAAGATCAAACAGATTCCTGACAAACCTAGCAGACAACTTTGTCTCCCAAAAAGTAGAAAAGGGAACTAGGGGATTAGCCATTTTGGATCTAATTCTCACTAACAGAGATGAAATGATAGAAGGTGTTGAAGCCATAGGAACCTTGGGAGGAAGTGATCATGCAATATTGGAATTCAACATTATGGAAGCACAAGCAATAGAACACAATCAAACTAGAGTCTTGGACTTCAAGAGAGCTAATTTCAATAAACTTAGAAAGGGTTTGGGAAGGATTCCATGGATGAGAATCCTCAAGGTGAAAACCACTCAAGAAGCTTGGGAAATTTTGAAAAGTGAGATAATAAAAGCCCAGTCTAGCACAATACCAACAAAGAGGAAAAATAACAGCTCTCAAAA